AAGCGCTCTCCCTCTGCCACTTCGCACCTGATGGGAGGAAGGGAGAGCCAGGGAGAGCTGCAAGGGGAAGAGCTTTTGCTTTCTCTCTCCTCTCTGCTAAGAATAAGGAGGCAGCATGGGAGACAAAAAGGGTGGAAAGGCAAGAGAGGGGATGAGCAAAGCTATTTCCCCCTAACTCAGTCCTCCTTTGAAGGCACTGTGATTACAAATGGACTGAGAGGTATTTTCTTTCAACGCTGAAGCGCTAACAGGCAGCGGTTTTGCTTGACGCTGGGGCACAGGAAACAGGTTAGGTACCTTAAAAAAAGAGAATCCAGACCTCACTTTCTGAAACCAAAACTCTCATGACCTCCATAGGATACCAATAAATTACATTTAACTTGACTACAACTACAAAACCTACTGGCCTCATCTGATCACAAATATTCTTGGTGCTTTTTAAAATCTGTCTTGTAGGTATGAAATCTTTCCCACGTTCCAGTACCATAACGCTGAGGTTAACCTGCCTGCATCCTCGCTGCGCTGTCCGGACGCCCGATGTGTGCCATCCTTCCTGACCCTGCCTCTAGTGCTGGAACAGCAGAGCAAAGCGACATGACTCCAAGCAAAGCATCAGGGGTGGCTCTGGCTTCTTTCAGCCATGCCATAGCCTCCCCAAAGGCCTTTTGCTTGTAGGAGAACGTTTCACATTTCATGTTCCATGTTTTCTCTGCCTCTTTTTGTTAGTGATTAAAGATAACTGGCTGTAGGTGAGTTTGCATTAAATCCAATAACAAGCATGTTTTATTTTACATCTTTTAGGTAACAGCTTCCAAACACCAGGACTACCTCCGAATCCATCGCATACTAAAGTCAAGAATTTCTCCTCCCAGAGCAGAACTACTAGGAGCACGCTATTTGATTTCAAAGAGAAAAAGATCATAATTTTACTGCAGGAAAGCTGTGGATAACAGCTGGGTGTGGGACTGGAAGTGATTTTTTTTCCGGGTGTTTATGTTTTGTGTCGTTATTTGTTTGCTTTACATATAATCCCATAACGGTGGGTGGTACTCAGATCATCTCCATAAACAAATGAACTGGAAAGCAACCTGGCGTTTAATTTCCTTAACCCATCAAACCCTCCTTTGCTCATAGAGCAGCACGACAATCTGAAACCTTGACTTGATATTCTGGGTAACTGGAAGGAGTAGGGGGGAGAGGGGAAGGATGAACTGTTGGGTTTTCTTTCCCACTTTTGTTAAAAGGCATCCAAGCATGGCTCTTCCTACCCTGACTAACCTGGGTAGGTGCCAGATGGATTTTTCCTTTCTCTAGGCAATGGCTCAGGAATTTCAGTCCGCTAGAGCCAAGGCTGTGAGCTTTTCACTGGCCTTTTCACTCTAGCCTACCCTTTCTCTGCAGTTAATCCCATCTCTCTTGCCACATCCACTATTAGCTGGACTCTACTGCTCCTTGACAATCAGCTTCCAGAGGGCTAAATTCTGCCTTTTCCTTCTGGAAACAAAGTGATGTGCCTAAAAGAAAAGCTTCCAGACATTTGTGGAATAAGAAATTAAAATCCTGAGGTAGTAAAGTGGGCGGCTGGCCAAGACAGCATGCTGGCTTGGCTCTTTAAAAATAAATTTGTTTTATGTGGTTCCCAGTATTTATCATGGGCAGCTAAACTTAAGAAAACGATTTGCAAAAACACTGAAAAGTTCACAAGGAAAATTTGATGTCCTCATTGACTAGAGCATCTTAACTATTGTATTTTCTGTGCTTTGCAATGAACAGCATGACATAACATACCTGGATTTAATGCGGAAAACGAATACCCTAACCTAATCCCGTAACTGCACAATGGTTTTCCATACCAACCAAAATCTTTACTTGTCCCTGCTTTTCATCATGCGCACAACTACCATAAGCACTCAGAGGTTTCTTTTGCCTAAATTACACCTCTTTCTTCCTCCTGTTTCCTATCAAGCTCCTCACTAACGAAAACATCTCCTCTTCTGAGGAGTAAGCAACGAAGAAAGCACACAATTTGTAATACTCTATGTTCCTGTGCTTTCAAATCTCTCCAAGTACTGAGAAGTTAAAGCTCATCGTGCGTGCCTGTGACCTGGGATGCTGAAATTCAGCCGGTGTAGCGGGGCTCTTTTGGGAGAGCCCTGGCATACAGACCCAGCAGCAACACCCCAGCCCCTGCATCCTGCCCAGCAGCACCCCTCGAGAACGAGCATCTCCCCAACAGAGAAGCCTGTGCTCGCCGGAACAAACCTTGCTGGAAAATGGCAGCTGAACCCTAAAGCAAAGAAAGCACTTTTGAGTCGAAGCCTCCAGTTTCGCCTGACAGGCTATTACAGTGCTTAACTCTCAACTGCACTGAGAAAACTCCAAGGATTTCCTGATTCTCAAAAGCATAAACAAGTTTCAGTTTCTCTTTCATTTAAAAAAATCTCAGCTCTTCACTCAGCCAGCATTTGACTTGCACTGTTAGACTCTGGGTAAGTTTGTACCGTTGGGAAAATATTTTTTTAGTGGAAGCAGCTGTCCCCCCTCTTTCCTTTCTTCGCCCCCCCCCCCCCCCCCCCCCCCCTCCCCCCCCCGCCAAGGAAATAATTCCTAGCACAAACATAGAAATATTGACTAGCCTTTTGGAGAAAGATGCTGTCTTAATGGCCAGTTCCTGTGAAATTCGCTTTACTCTCAAGCGCATTTTAATATAGCATTGTTTCCCAAAAAGTAAAAATATAGAAGGAAAACCAATCCCTCTCTGTGAAACATGTAGCGTCTTCGACAAATAATAACACTAGTTCCCTCCCCACCAAAGCCTCGGCCCAGCATCATATTTTCACTGAAAGTTCCTAAAATACATCTTTAAAGATAGCAGAGGTACATATTCATTATTTGTCTACTTTTTTTTCCACATACAAATTGAGTACAGATTGCATCACTGCCAATTTTGTTTCCAATAGCACAGGAAAAATAAAACTATGACAAATTGCTTTTATTACTTCCTTAAACAAGAACTGAAACTTGTCCAAAAAAGCACATGAAAGTCTAACTTGGATGACTTGAGCTATTGCCAGGTACAGAAGTAATATAATAAAGCAAAAACTTAAATGCATATTAATAGAGGAATAATTAACTGGGCATTAAAAGAATACTTGATTTTAATAGCACAAAGGGGGTTAATTGGTTCATTGATTGCTTGCACTAAAAATAAAGCAGATCTTCAATTGAGATAATACATGACTTATTTTATATCACGTTGCCTCCCAACTCTAGTCCTCAACTCCTCCAACACTGAGAAGCCCTGTTGACTTCCAAAACATCTTGGTGCCCTGTGATGGTTCATCAGGCCTCATATGACCAGCGGCACAGTAATTAAGCATGGCCTTGAAGAAACAGTTTCACTTATTTGGTACAAGTATTGTGACTACACCAGGGAATCGCTTTTTGTGTTTGTCTAGTTTTCTCCCCTTAGGACGTAATGCTGCTGCCCCTGAAACCAACAGGAACTTTGCAAGGGGTTTAAGTGGAAGCAAGATCTTTTTGCTGGGGAGAGTTACACCGGGAATGCACTGACCCTTCTGAGTGACACCTGTGGCTCTAAAAAGTGTCATCATTACCTAACTGAGGGGCTGGCTCAGCACAGGAGACACCTGGAGGGTAGGTGACCCTATAAGCCCACTAGTGCAGCTGAGGCAAAGATGTTCTGTGCTCCGGCCAGTTCTGGAAGAGGGGACTGCCCACCACCCCTGGGCTGCTGCCCTCCAATCTGAGCTCCTCTGATCAACTGCTTTAATCTGGGAGCTGGCTTCAGCACTGGGTTATGTCAGCTTGACAGCTCGCCTTGGCTGGACGTTGCACCTGGAAGACCAAGATCAGCATTTGGCCCCGCATCCTCTGTGGGGGAGGCAGACACGGGTTTAAATGCAGAGTAAAGGCAGCTTGCTCCTCCACCACCGCCCCCCTCTTCCATAGTTATAATGAGAAAAAAAGTGGTGGTGTTTCAAAATATAACCCCGTGTTCTGACTCTCCGCAAACGCTTCCATTTAGCCAAATGATACGTTTTACTTAAGTGCGGGCGAGCAGAAAGGCGAATGCAAGGGAGAGGGATCTACCAGTTCAGCTAAAACTCCCTTTTCAGAAGCCTTGCATGAATCTCTCTTAAATCTATTACAATTCATTCTCTGTTTACTTTAGGCAAACAGAAAAACTCATCGTGGAGCACTCATTTTCGCAAGCTAATCAAGAACATTAGGTCCCAACAGATTCATTTAATAGAAATATAATAGGCATT